ATGCATAGTTATATACTTAACTTTACAAAGTAAAAGCAGAGCATAAACCTTCTTCTCAACTGCATATGTAACATTCAAAAAATTGACCTTTTATTAGGTTCTCCCCCATAAAACAGATTGACTAAAAAATAGTATTCTCTGATCACAGTGCAATAAAACTAGAAATTACTCACAAATTTTCAAAAATTAAAAAGTATTTTCATATGGAAATTAAATAACTTCCTTCTAAACAACTCTTGGAAGAAACATGAAATACAAATAGAAGTCATATATCTTTTAACAATAATGAAAATATTATGTATCAGAATTCATGGGTTACAAATGAAATAAAAACCAGAAGAAAATTTATAGTCTTAAACACCTTATTAACAAGATGAAAGAATAAAAATAAGTAAATTCCCAGTTCAAAATGTGGAAAAAGCCAAAAGAAAGTACCAAGAAGGAAATAAGGGCAATAATTAATGAGGTACTGAATAGAAAAACATTAGTTCTCCTAGACAAATCAAAATTTTGTATGCTTAAGAAAAAAATAACAAAATAAACATACCATTAGATAAGTTGAAGTAGAAATCACAAATATCCAAAATCAAAAATAATAAGAGTGAAATATCACTGAATCAGAAGAAATGAAAAAGTCATGACATTATAGACATCTGTATAAAGAAATGTGAAAAGTCATAAGCAGAGGATAATTTCCTAAACTGATCACATTACAGACAGAAAGTTAAAAGAACAGACAGAAAGTTAAAAGAGAAAAATTCCCATAGGAGAAATAAAGTTATCAAGAAGTACTCCACAAAAAGACCCATGCCCAGATGGTTTCACAGGGAAAGCCTATCAAAGCTGCAAAAACCAAATATTTTCTATGTTGTAAAAATTGTTCAGAAGCTTAAAAAATGTAGAAAAACTTAATTCTTTTTTATGAAGCAATTTAAACATTGATACACAAACATTTTTTAAAAGAAACAGAAAAAAAAATCCCTACATAAACCCTGTGTGGTGTGGATCCAGAATTAGGGTTATGATTAGAGATACACATATGATTAGAGAAACATATAGGCCAAAATCACCTCTGAATATTGATGTAAAAGCTCTAAATAAAATATCAGCAGACAAAATCCAACAAAGTATCTTGTCCTATGTATAAGATAATGATATACAAAGAACAGGAGAGATTTAGTCTAAGAATGCAAAGCTAATTTGATCCATTAATAAAACACATCATACGAATAGCTCAAAAAAGAAAAACCACGATCATCTCCATATACGCTGAAAAAGCCTTCAACAAATCTTAAGACCCACTCCTGATTCTAAAAAAAACACTCAACAAAACAAGAGTTGATGAATACTTTCTTAGCATGATAAATACACTTTGTTTTAAAGTCAGCATCCTTCTTTAAACAGGGAAACATTAGAGGCATTTTTACTGAACACATCAATTAAGACATTCTTTGTTAACACTTGTCTTTCCTTATAGCTCAGTTGGTAAAGAATCCCCCTGCAATGCAGGAGACCCAGATTCAATCCTGGGTGGGGAAGATCAGCTGGAGAAGGGATAGGCTGCCCACTCCAGTATTCTTGGGCTTCCCTGTGGCTCAGCTGGTACAGAATACACCCGCAATGTGGGAGACCTGGGTCCAATCCCTGGGTTGGGAAGATCTGGGTTCTCCTGGAGAAGGGAACGGCTACCCACTCCAGTATTCCAGCTTGGAAAATTTCATGGACTACATAGTCCATGGGGTCGCAGAGAGTCAGACACGACTGAGCAACTTTCACTTTCACTTCAGTTCAGTTCAGTCACTCAGTCGTGTCCAACTCTTTGTGACCCTATGGACTGCAGCACGCCAGGCCTTCCTGTCCAGCACCAACTCCTGGAGTTTACTCAAACTCATGTCCATTGAGCTGGTGATGCCATCCAATCATCTCATCTTCTGTTGTCCCCTTCCCCTCCCGCCTTCAATCTTTCCCAGCATCAGTCTTTTCCAATGAGTCAGTTCTTCGCATCAGGTAGCCAAAGTATTAGAGTTTCAGCTTCACCATCAGTCCTTTCAAAGAACATTCAGGACTGATTTCCTTTAGGATGGACTGGTTGGATCTCCTTGCTGTCCAAGGGACTCTCAAGAGTCTTCTCCAACACCGCAGTTCAAAAGCATCAATTCTTCAGCACTCAGCTTTCTTCACAGACCAACTCACATCCATACATGATTACAGGAGAAACCATAGCCTTGACTAGATGGGCCTTTGTTGGCAAAGTAATGTCTCTGCTTTTTAATATACTGTCTAGGTTGGTCATAACTTTTCTTCCAAGAAGCAAGCGTCTTTCAATTTCAAAGCTGCAGTCACCATCTGCAGTGATTTTGGAGCCCCCAAAAATAAAGTCTGCCACTGTTTCCAATGTTTCCCAATCTATTCGCCATGAATTGATGGGACCGGATGCCATGATCTTAGTTTTCTGAATGCTGAGCTTTAACCCAACTTTTTCACTCTCCTCTTTCACTTTTATCAAGAGGCTCTTTAGTTGTTCACTTTCTGCCATAAGGGTGGTGTCATCTGCATATCTGAGGTTATTGATATTTCTCCTGGCAATCTTGATTCCAAAATGTGCTTCGTCCAGCCCAGCGTTTCTCATGATGTACTCTGCGTGTAAGTTAAATAAGCACAGTGACAATATACAGCCTTGACGTACTCCTTTTCCTATTTGGAACCAGTCTGTTGTTCATGTCCAGTTCTAACTGTTGCTTCCTGACCTGCATACAGATTTCTCAAGAGGCAGATCAGGTGGTCTGGTATTCCCATCTTTTTCAGAGTTTTCCACAGTTTGTTGTGATCCACACAGTCAAAGGCTTTGGCATAGTCAATAAAGCAGAAGTAGATGTTTTTTGGAACTCTCTTGTTTTTTTGATGATCTAACAGATGTTGGCAATTTGATCTCTGGCTCCTCTGCCCTTTATTAAAATCAGCTTGAACATCTGGAAGTTCATGGTTCACATACTGTTGAAGCTGAAGCCTGACTTGGAGAATTTTGAGCATTACTTTGCTAGTGTGTGAGATGAGTGCAATTGTGCAGTAGTTTGAACATTCTTTGGCGCTGCCTTTCTTTAGGATTGGAATGAAAACTGACCTTTTCCAGTCATGTGGCCACTGCCGAGTTTTCCAAATTTGCTGGCATACTGCGTGCAGCACTTTCACAGCATCATCTTTTAGGATTTGAAGTAGCACAACTGGAATTCCATCACCTCCACTAGCTTTGTTCTTAGTGAGGCTTCCTAAGGCCCACATGACTTCACATTCCAGGATGTCTGGCTCTAGGTGAATGATCACACCCTCCTGATTATCTGGGTCATGAAGATATTTTTTGTACAGGTCTTCTGTGTATTCTTGCCACCTCTTCTTAGTATCTTCTGCTTCTGTTAGGTCCATACCATTTCTGTCCTTTATTGAGCCCATCTTTGAATGAAATGTTCCTTTGGTATCTCTGATTTTCTTGAAGAGATCTCTAGTCTTTCCCATTCTATTGTTTTCCTCTATTTCTTTGCACTGATCACTGAGGAAGGCTTTCTTATTTCTCGTTGCTGTTCTTTGGAACTCTGCATTCAAATGGGTATATCTTTCCTTTTCTCCTTTGCCTTTCACTTCTCTTCTATTCACAGCTATTTGTAAAGCTGCCTCAGACAACCATTTTGCCTTTTTGCATTTCTTTTTCTTGGGGATGGTCTTGATCCTTGCCTCTTATACAATTCACAAACCTCCGTCCATAGTTCTTCAGGCACTCTATCAGATCTAATCCCTTGAATTTATTTGTCACTTCCACTGTATAACCAAAAGGGATTTGATTTATGTCATACCTGAATGGTGTAGTGGTTTTCCCTATTTTCTGCAATTTATGTCTGAATTTCACTTCACTGTAACACTATTTAACATTGTAATAGAGGTATCTGTCAAGGCAATTAGATAAATCAATTAGGGGCATCAGAACTTGAAGATGTAAAACTATATTATAGATATTATGATCATGAACTTGGAAACCCCTAAAGAATCAATGATCCTTAAATGGTACAGAAATAGGCTCTCAAACACTATTGCTTGGAATGGAAACTGGAATGTTCCTCATGGATAGGAATATATAACAAAACAGAAGATATATATTTATATCGTTACCTTTTAATTTAGCAATCCCACTTCTGGGAATATATTCTGAAGCTAATTCTCTAGTGATGTGAACATACGCACATACAAGGTTATTACTCACTGTGGCACTGTTATTTATAAAATACTTGAAATAAGTTAGATATCCATATATAGGAGAATAACTGAATAAACTATTGTATATGTACATAAAAGAGTTATCATGCAGGATGAAAAAGATCTTTATGAATTGATACAAAGTGATTTCCAAAGTACTTTCCTAGAATTCTAGAATAGCAAGTAAGTAAAAACGTTGTAAATGATAAAAATCAGGAGTTATAAATATTGAAAAGGAGAAAAAGTAGAATGAACCTTGTGTGGTGTGGGATCAGAACTGGGGCTATGATTAGAGATACATATATACATATTCATACATAAGATACACATGTATACACACATACATAGTCATCCACAAACATACATACACTCGTTTTTTTTAATATGAATTTTAGCCGTAAGATTCATATACTTAGACCTAAGCAAATAAGATTTCACAACTTTTGAAATCTAAATTTTAAAAGGTACTAGCTAGTCAATCTATGGCATAAGAAGATACTACTTTAGGAACAACAGTCAGGAAAAAAAGACTTAAACAGAAAGATCAAGAAAATCTTTAAATAATAAAGAATTCTCTCATCCATGTGACCAGATCATAAAAACAGGAAAATATAATATTAATCCCAGTAGAAAATATTCTGTGTCCAGCTCAGATTATTTTTATATTAGCAAAATAAATACATTATCCTTAATAAAAGTTACAAAGATGCAAATGGTACTTGGTATTTTACAATGAAACATATCAAAATCCATTTTACCTTACAGTAAAGTCATAGGAGCAAGAGGCCAGCACAGAAGCATGAAATGGTGAAAACTACAAAAGAAAACAAAAAAATCCTTTTTGAGGTTAACTGTAATTATAACATGGTACTTCATAAGATCATTCCCATGAACATTATTACAAAGTCTAGACAGGACTATCAGAAGTACAGACACTACTATATGTCAAATAGATAACTAATAAGGACCTACTTATAGCACAGAGGACTACACTCAATACTCTGTAACGGCATATATGGGAAGAGAATCTAAAAAAAGAATGGATATATATATATATATATATATATATGGATATATATATATGTATAACATTCACTTTGCTGTATGCATGAAACTACCACAACATTGTAACTCAACTATACTCCAATAAAAAAAATTTTTAAGTATGCTTTTCCAAACCTTATTACACTTTAATTCAAGGCAAAAATCTTTTAGTCTTTTAAGTATCCACCTACAGGGAAAATGGTTGTTTTTAACATTCTTCAAAGAAAGTCATTTCTCAAGCTTTTTAAATCTAATTTATAATTAAATATTCCCTAAATGTTGCTATTCCAGAAAAATTAAGCACAATTTCATATTGGCTATCCAAAAGTAACTTATACAAATCTAAAGGACATAAGTGTGTGATGATTCAGACACAGAATTATATAATTTACCAAACTTGTGAATACATTTTATGACTGCTATTAGCACAAGCCTCAAACATTTAAATGTTAAAAGTTTTTAACTAATTTTTATGCTATTTGTATATCACATCTAATGAAAATGGTATCAAGGTCAAAAAATGCAAATTTTAAAGACAAGTTATGTACAAGTATTAACATACATCTTTTAACTGGCTGCCCACTGTAATTTTATTTCTTCAGAATATTTCTTACCAGTACTTTAACGTTTATATACACATATATACTTACATTTGAATGTTCTTCACAGTTTGCAAAACACTTTCACTATTTCACCCTATTTCATTCTCAGAAGCACTATGAAATATATATAGAAAATATTTTTTAACCACCAAACCTTGTGTTCCATTTAAAAAAAATCTGGGCACTGGGTCTCATATTTTGAGTTATAACCAGAAAAATTTTTAATGTTAACTGCAATTTAGAATTTCTAAAACAGGAATAACATAACTATCTTAATTAAAAGATCAAAAAGGTACTTATCTGTAATGTAAAAAACCAAAAGTGAAATTGGGAGATGTCCCTTAATAAGATGTTTTCCAGAGTGACTCAGCAAAATTTACCTAAATAAAAGCTGGGAAGGACTTCCCTGGCGATTCAGTGGTTAAGAATCCACCTGCCAATGCCGGAGACATACGTGTGATCCCCAGGAGGCTCCCACATGCAGCGAAGCCCACGCACCACAACTACCAAGCTTGCACTCCAGAGCCCACGGGTCCAGAGAAGAGAGGCCGCCACGTGGGACGTCCCGCCTGCCGTACCTGGAGGATGCCCCAGCGGAGTAACACCCAACACACCAAAAAACAAAACTGGGAAACTAACGCTGGCCACTTCATAACCTGACAAGTTCAGGAGAAGCAGAAGAAAACAGTTCTCTCTATTATTTACAAAGTGGAAATTTTTCTATACTCTACAACTTTTGTGAACATTCATATATATAATCATGTTAGGGAAAAGAAAGAATTAACCACCTCTCTGTACAAGTTTCAACCAGATAAACTTTTCCACTGAATGAAAAATTATAAAGACTATAATACTAAAACTAAATTACTACAGTTATAAAGTTTTAAAAGAAATAGTAGCATAGGGATGACAGAATGAGAAAAACATTTTTATTCACTCCCGAGTACCACCTAACTATATCGTTATAGGTCACTCAATAATCATTCCAGCACTTTACCTAATTTTAGCTTTCAATGTTTACTACCATTCACTGGGTAACAAAATGTTAAAAAAAAAAAAAGAATCAATAACCCCATCCCTTAAACATCTTTTAAATGTACTTCATTGACTGTATTTATCTTTTTGTTCTCTGTAGAAAAAGAAAAGATAAAAACTTACTTTCACTCTCCTAATAGCGTAAGTGTGACCAAGAAGTTCAAACACAGGCTGTCGTACATTCCTCAAGTCCCAGCCTCGCAAACTACAATCAACCGCCCCTGTCACCACCAAATTCTGAAAACAATTTAAAGCAAGGTTAAGTGTGCCTCTTTACAATTAAGCAGCAGCCAAGCTTTCCTACTGGAAATAGTGTCTATTTTCTGGTACTTATTTAATCTGAACCCAGGAGTCACTCTTGACAAGTTACATAACATTATAGAAATGGGTTAAAACATACAGCAAAAGCAAAACTTAGTATGACTTGAGAACTCAATATGCCTCAGGCATATGAAGGAACACAGCATACAAGAGAAAAACGCTTAGTCTCAAACAACATTGTAGCTTCTCCATCTACTTTTAGGGATATTAATAAGAACACAAGTTATTAAAAATTACAAAAGAGCCCACCTGTCTCTTCAGCATCCTCTGAGGTTTCTACCAGGCTAAAAGGCAAGAGACTGCTAATTCACAAATATTTGAAAGGGCAAAGGTATAAATTAAATGTTGTTTTCCTAATTCTAAATCAATCATTGCATCTAACTCTCATGGACCATGGTCTTAATGTAATAGCTAACTCTATCTGAGAATTTATGCAAATAGTGGGTAGTCTCCTATCTAGAACCCTAGGTGAACCCAGAGTTCACAGCTGAATAAGCCAAGAGCTGGGTCCACACTCAGCCCCATTCCACATCGACCAGGGCAGTAATTCATTGTCTGAACATTTTGGACTTCTATATAAGCTCATTTTAAAAAAGCTTCAGTGATTGTTTTAAAAAATTTTTTAAAGTACTCTCAAGTGTATATCAGCATCTTTTTTAGAATTCCCAAAAGTATAACATAGTCCACAATTTCATTCTCTTATTTAGAAAATTCATGGGTGAGATTTGAACTGTAGTCGTCACCACTGAAAATTCTATTAAAATCAAGTATTATTTTGAATATGTTCTATATCTTCTTTTAATTTATTTCTTTTTAATTAAAGAACTCAGCCAATACAATGTTCCCTTAATTTTCATTGACTAAAACTTGGGGAAAAAAACAAAGTATATGTTATACTTAACTGTCACAGTCAACAGACCACTTCAGGTAGATAAATATATTTAAACAGCATATCAACAAATATTTAATCCATTTCTATTTCTAATTCATATGCCCATATGGTTAGCTGAAGGTTGCAAAAGGTTGCAAATGGACACTGCTCTCTTTCAGAAACATGAAGATTGGTTAGGCTTGTAAGGGAAAATGAAACAGAAAATTCCTAAAACTGATGAACTGTCAAATTAAAAATCAAGTTACAAATAGTTCAGCAGCCTCAACAGCAAAGTGCACAAGAAATGGAAGGCTAAAGATTATATAAATTGGCAAGGTTAAGAGCAATAAAGTAAAAAATTACATAGATTGTAAAGCAGTTTCCCAAACAAACAAGTAAGGCTGCACTACTGAACTTTTCAGAATTTCTGTTTCTTATTCAGCCTGTTTTATGTGCACTTAAATCCAATTAATGCTAATGCAGGTCACTCACAATCATCAATTAGAAATGAAAGGGACTGAATCTAACTTAATGGCCTGTAAACACTATCCAAGTCCACATAAACAAAGATAAAATCTAGAACATTTCGACGTTAGGAAGGGCTCAGTAGCTCAGGATAGAACCAGATAGGGTACCTCATTGTATTTACACCAGTCACAGCTCAAAATTTCTGCCTGATGTGCTGGAACCACAATTCTGACTCCTGTTGTCTTCATGTCCCAAATTCTCAAAGTCTGATCGCCTGGGGAAAGAGGAAGACTTGATCACCCTTTATCACACCACTTGGATGCTTGATACCCATGATGACAAGTCGGGGAAAACACACCACTTCCATTATCAGGACATTGTCATCTGTATGTCATATACACATATACATTGTTTTATACTATAATAATATATAAGAACTACTAAAAGTGACAACTACAAAAAATAAGGCACCACATTAAGTTTTTAGATCTACTCAAAGCAGGACAATCTGAATCTCACATTGACACACGCAGAGCAGTGGCTGAGCACACAGCCAGTGCATTTTTCTTCAGGAAAGGAAAAGGCTCTGAAAATCCTCATTTCTCTTAAGTAAAGTGAGCACCCTATACCAGCATATTCTCCAGGAAGCAAAATGGTAACAATTTTAATGTAAAATGTGTGCAAAGTCTACCAAGTCAGAATGGATAATTTAAAATCTTAGCTTTTACATTGATTACATTTTAAAGGGCCATCCAAAGGTATGGATTTCACCTTGAAAGAAACAAGTGGAGAAAATGTAAGGATTGTACTCTGAATTACTACAAAGATGACTTAAACCACCTAGCTGCGCAGAGTCAACCCTGATTAACTGTTTGAGATGCTGTTTGCCTTCAATTTTGTAAAATATGAGGAAACAACGAAATGACCAGATGAAAAGTTCTGACTACATGTATATCTCCATCAAAAGTAAATTGCAAACAATAACTGATCATCTGAGAAAGCCAGTTGAGGTTAATGTAAAAAAAAAAATGGTGTGATGGCAGTCATGGTCTTGATTCCATTTAGTAGTTGTGTGACCCTGCGCAAGCTGTATAATGTCTCTGAGACTAGTTTCTCAGGATGCCTGGATGGAGGATGGTACAAAAACATTTCATGTAATAAAGTTTCTGTAAAGCGTTAGAATGGTCTCTAGCATATAGCAGATATGCTAATAAGTAGTATATAAAAACATTAAATTTTAAACATTTCCTTTAGCTACCTATATATAATTTCCTATCATCCCAATTCAAAATTATTTATCATTTAGCTAAGTTCCATAATTTCAAACAATTTTTTTCTGATTTCTTTGCAAGTTAAGAAAGATAAGAAGTAAACTGCTTGTAAGAATAGGGGCTTTGGAGCTTCAGAGCTTAGCTCTAGTCCAGCTCAATTATTTCGTAGCTGTTGACCTTCAGTCAAGTTACTTAACATCTTGGATGCTCATTTTCCTTACCTACGATAAAGTATCTGCCTCATACAGACCCACAGATACAGAGAACAAATCAGTGGTCACCAGACTGGTGAGAGAAGGACAGGAGGACAATACAGGGGTAGGAGATTAAGAAGTATAAACTATCATGTATAAAATTAGATACAAAGATATACTGTACAACAAAGGGAATATAGCTAATAGTTTATAATAACTATAAATGGTGCATAACCTTTAAAAATTGTGAATCACTATTTTGTACACCTACAACTTATATAACTTTGTAAACCAACTATACTTCAAAAGACACAAAAACATATCTGCCTTACAAAGCTGCCCCTGTCACAGCTAGACTGGCCAAAAGGAGATATTTGGGATTTTTCTGAACTATTAATTGAAAAAATAATGCTAGTCCCCCTCACACAGGAGAATTTACAGGTTGTAAAACTGAGGAATTATTGGTGGCCATGTGTTTCACTGTATGGAGAAAGCTGACCTGCACAGTCAAGTCACCCAGCAGAGAAAAGTCCAGATTAGAGACAGAGAATGTGTCCTGAGGTTGTTTAAGCATCCGTTCCCCTTCTGGGGTTGCTTTTCAATAAATTCTACAAAGACCTACAGGTGCTCAAGTTCTACTATTACCACCTGCAGGCAGAGGTGATTCCTTATCATTATGGCAGCAGTGAATGGAATTCACCTGAAGCTTCAGACTCTCAAAGCCTAGAGCCAGTGAAAAAGATTAAATTCAGCACAGGGCTTTCAGTAAAAACATAGGAATGTTTAAATGATGTACACTATATTTCAAAAATTTATATCAAGTCTGATATAACATATAACACAAGTCATGGTGGAGATTTCTGACAAAATGTGGTCCACTGGAGAAGGCAATGGCAAACCACTTCAGTATTCCTGCCTTGAGAACCCCATGAACACTAGGAAAAGGCAAAAAGATAGGACAATGAAAGATGAACTCTCCAGGTTGGTGGGTGCCCAATATGCTACTGGAGATCAATGGAGAAATAACTCCAGAAAGAATGAAGAGATGGAGCCAAAGCAAAAACAACACCCAGTTGTAGATGTGACTGGTGATAGAAGCAAGGTCCGATGCTGTAAAGAGCAACAATGCATAGGAACCTGGAATGTTAGGTCCATGAATCAAGGCAAATTAGAAGTGATCAAACAGGAGATAGCAAGAGTGAACATCAACATTTTAGGAATCAGTGAACTAAAATGGACTGGAATGGGTGAATTTAACTTAGATGACCATTATATCTACTACTGTAGTCAAGAATCCCTTAGAAGAAATGGAGCAGGCATCACAGTCAACAAAAGGGTCCAAAATGCAGTGCTTGGATGCAGTCTCAAAAACAACAGAATGATCTCTGTTCATTTCCAAGGCAAACCATTCAACAACACAGTAATCCAAGTCTATGCCCCGACCAGTAATGCTGAAGAAACTGAAGTTGAACAGTTCTATGAAGATCCACAAGACCTTCTAGAATTAACACCCAAAAAAGATGTTATTTTCATTATAGGGGACTGGAATGCAAAAGCAGGAAGTCAAGAAACGCCAGGAGTAACAGGCAAATTTGGCCTTGGAGTACAGAATGAAGCAGGGCAAAGGCTAATAGAGTTCTGCCAAGAGAATAAACTGGTCATGGCAAACAACCTCTTCCAACAACATAAGAGAAGACTCTACACATGGACATCACCAGATGGTCAATACCAAAATCAGATTGATCATATTCTTTGAAGTCAAAGAGATGGAAAGGCTCTATACAGTCAGCAAAAACAAGACCAGGAGCTGACTGTGGTTCAGATCATGAACTTATTGCCAAATTCAGACTTAGATTTAAGAAAGTAGGGAAAACCACCAGACCATTCAGGTATGACCTAAATCAAATCCCTAATGATTATACAGTAGAAGTGACAAATAGATTTAAGGGACTAGATCTGTTAGAGTGTCTGATGAAAACAGAAGTTCATGACATTGCATAGGAGATGGGAGTAAGGCCATCCCCAAGAAAAAGAAATGCAAAAAGGCAAAATGGCTGTCTGAGAAGGCCTTACAAATAGCTGTGAATAGAAGAGAAGCGAAAAGCAAAGGAGAAAAGGAAAGATACACCCATTTGAATGCAGAGTTCCAAAGAACAGCAACGAGAAATAAGAAAGCCTTCCTCAGTGATCAGTGCAAAGAAATAGAGGAAAACAATAGAATGGGAAAGACTAGAGATCTCTTCAAGAAAATCAGAGATACCAAAGGAACAATTCATGCAAAGATGGGCACAATAAAGGACAGAAATGGTATGAACCTAACAGAAGCAGAAGATATTAAGAAGAGGTGGCAAGAATACACGGGAGACCTGTACAAAATAGATCTTCATGACCCAGATAATCACAATGGTGTGATCACTCACCTAGAGCCAGACATCTTGGAATGTGGTATCAAGTGGGCCTTAGGAAGCCTCACTAAGAACAAAGCTAGTGGAGGTGATGGAATTCCAATTGAGCTACTTCAAATACTAAAAGATACTGTGAAAGTGCTGCATTCAGTATGCCAGCAAATTTGGAAAACTCGGCAGTGGCCACAGGACTGGAAAAGGTCAGTTTTCATTCCAATCCCAAAGAAAGGTAATGCCAAAGATGCTGAAACTACCACACAATTGTACTCATCTCACACACTAGCAAAGTAATGCTCAAAATTCTCCAAGTCAGGCTTCAACAGTATGTGAACCTTGAGCTTCCAGATGTTCAAGCTGGTTTTAGAAAAGGCAGAGGAACCAGAGATCAAATTGCCAACAAATTGCTGGATCATCAAAAAAGCAAGAGAGTTCCAGAAAAACATCTATTTCTGCTTTATTGACTATGCCAAAGCCTTTAACTGTGTGGATCACAACAAACTTTGGAAAATTCTGAAAGAGATGGGAATACCAGACCACCTGATCTGCCTCTTGAGAAACCTATATGCAGGTCAGGAAGCAACAGTTAGAACTGGACATGGAACAACAGACTGGCTCCAAATAGGAAGAGGAGTACGTCAAGGCTGTATATTGTCACTGTGCTTATTTAACTTATATGCAGAGTACATCATGAGAAACGCTGGGCTGGACGAAGCACATGTTGGAATCAAGATTGCCGGAAGAAATATCAATAACCTCAGATATGCAGGTGACACCACCTTTATGGCAGAAAGTAAAGAACTAAAGAGTCTCTTGATGAAAGTCAAAGAGGAGAGTGAAAAAGTTGGCTTAAAGCTCAACATTCAGAAAACTAAGATCATGGCATCCAGTCCCATCACTTCATGGCAAATAGATGGGAAACAGTGGAAACAGTGGCTGACTTTATTTTTGGGGCCTCCGAAATCACTGCAGATGGTGACTGCAGCCATGAAATAAAAAGATACTTACTCCTTGGAAGAAAAGTTATGACCAACCTAGATAACATATTAAAAACCAGAGACATTACTTTGCCAACAAAGGTCCATCTAGTCAAGGCTATGGTTCTCCAGTAGTCATGTATGGATGTGAGAGTTGGACTATAAAGAAAGCTGAGTGCCAAAGAATTGATGCTTTTGAACTGTGGTGTTGGAGAAGACTCTTGAGAGTCCCTTGGACAGCAAGGAGATCCAACCAGTCCATCCTAAAGGAAATCAGGTCCTGAATGTTCATTGGAAGGACTGATGCTGAAGCTGAAACTCCAATACTTTGGCACCTTATGTGAAGAGCTGACTCATTTGAAAAGACCCTGATGCTGGGAAAGACTGAAGGCAAGAGAAGAAGGGGATGACAGAGGATGAGATGGTTGGA